CCTCCAATCTCTCCCCATAGCTGGTCTCCTCCATGCCTCCTCTACATGCCTCGTATCAGTTTGGTTCCCTTCTCTGTACTTTATAAATGTGACATATTTTCTGGACCCTCCCCCACTCTCCATCCTGAAGTATCCTATTGTGTGCTTGTGGCTGCAGGTGGGAAAGAAGAGGATGGAACTTGGCAGCACTGCGGGGGTGGGGCACACGGGGGGGGGGGGCCTAAGCAGAAGGGGAACGTATGGCACACAGGGAGGGTGATGGGTGCAGTGGGGGGGCATTACTGGAACAGATCCCCTGTATGGTTCTCTTTGCAGCAGCTGAAAACCAGCGGGAGAGAGAGAGAAGAAGCCGGCTTACAGCTGCTGCAGAGATAACCATACAGGGGATCGGTTCCTGTAGTGCCCCCCCCCTCCCCTCCCCACAGTGCCGATCACCCAACCTGCCCACATCCGATTCACCCAGCTGCCTGCTCCCCCCTGCTGACCTGGGTTTCTGTGCAAGAGGACTGGTGGCACCAGGGCTGCTGTTAGAAACCACAGGGGGCCCCATACAGCCAACCTGAAAGGTCCTCCTCCCACCCAAGAAAAACACAGTTCACTATGCTTCAGTTATGAATGAACACAGTAAGTGATTGGTTCCAATCACTTCTTGTGATCATTTAGGAAAGGAAGGGGCTGGTAAATGTGACATATATCCCACTCTCCATCCTGAATGATCCTATTGTGTGCTGGCAGCTGACAGTGGGAAGGAGAGGAGAGAAGCCGGAAGCACTGAGGCATTGGGGCCTGGGCAGCAGGGGGGAAATGTATGGTTGCAAAGGGAGGGTGATTGGTGTGGTGGGGGGGAAATTACTGGAACCGATCCCCTGTATGGTTCTCTCTGCTGCAGCTGAAAACCAGTGTGAGGGAGAGGAGAAGAAGCCGGTTTTCAGCTGCTGCAGGGAGAGTCATACAGGGGATCGGTTTCAGTAATTTCACCCCCACCGCACCCATCACCCTCCCTTTGCACCATACATTTCCCCCTGCACAAATCCCCCCCCCTCACCACAGTGCCGATCACCCTCCCTGCCCACATCCGATTCATCCAGCTGCCTGGGCCCCCCTGCTGATCTGGGCCCCGTACAGGAGGATTGGTGGGTACCCCCTCATCCACGGTACAGGAGGACTGGTGGTACCCCCTCATCCACGGCACAGGAGGACTGGTGGTACCCCCTCATCCACAGTACAGGAGGACTGGTGGTACCCCCTAATCCATAGTACAGGAGGACAGGTGGTACCCCCTCATCCACGGTAACAGGAGGACAGGTGGTACCCCCTCATACACGGTACAGGAGGACTGGTGGTACCCCCTCATCCACGGTACAGGAGGACTGGTGGTACCCCCTCATCCACAGTACAGGAGGATTGGTGGTACCCCATCATCCACGGTACAGGAAGACTGGTGGTACCCCCTCATTCACGGTACAGGAGGACTGGTGGTACCCCCTCATCCACGGTACAGGAGGACTGGTGGTATCCTCTCATCCACGCTACATGAGGACTGGGTGATACCCTCTCATCCACGGTACAGGAGGACTGTTGGTACCCCATCATCCAAGGTACAGGAGGACTGGCAGTACCCCCTCATCCAAGGTACAGGAGGACTGGCGGTACCCTCTCATCCATGATACATTAGGACTGGTGGTGCCCTCTCATCCACGGTAGGACTGGTGGGTACCCCTCATCCTTGGTACAAGAGGACTGGCGGGCGGGGGGGGGGGGGGGGATACCTCATATATCCATGGTACAGAGGACTGGCGGTACCCCCTTCATCCATGGTACAGGAGGACTGGCGGTACCCCCTCATCCTTGGTACAGAGGACTGGCGGTACCCCCCGTCATCCTCGGTACAGGAGGACTGGCGGTACCCCCTCATCCTCGGTACAGGAGGACTGGCGGTACCCCCCTCATCCTCGGTACAGGAGGACTGGCGGTACCCCCTCATCCACGGTACAGAGGACTGGCGGTACCCCCTGATCCACGGTACAGGAGGACTGGTGGTATCCCCTCATCCATGGTGAGGGACTCCGGTACCCCCTAACCCCTCCCCTCCCCTAGGTACAGGAGGACTGGGCGGTACCCCTCATCCACGGTACAGACAGAGGCGGTACCCCCCTCACCCTACCATGGTACCCCCTCACTGACGGTACCCCCCGTCATCCATGGTACAGGAGGACTGACGGTACCCCCTCATCCATGGTACAGGAGGACTGACGGTACCCCCCATCCATGGTACAGAGGGACTCTCGGTACCCCTCATCCAAGGTACAGGAGGACTGGCGGTACCCCCTCATCCATGGTACAGGAGGACTGACGGTACCCCCTCATCCACGGTACAGGAGGACTGTACAGTGGGGATGTATGGAGAGCCTCTGGGACATGTCTGTGATCAGCGATCCTGCACAACCCACCACCCCAAAATAATTCTTGTAGGCAGAAGGTGCCGCCACATCATCGCATTATGCAGAGCAATTAAAACACATCATATTATGCAAATAAAAGCGCCATTTTGTTGTGTGACTGCAACCTCCAGGGACCAGCAATCCTCAGCACACTTGGCAGGAATCGTGTCGGCTGTTAAGTTAATTAAGCCATTTAAGTCTGCAGTCAATTATGGCGGTTTTAGTGGCGCCGCCCCAGGACATCGGTAGCTAAGCAATCACCGCGGAAGAGAACCACCTGACGACCGAATACTTCCTACTTGGGGGGCTAACCACAGATAATTTACATGGAGGATGGCAAGCAGGAGATCCCCCTCCGGGGTCACAAGAAACTGGGAAAAATATTCCAGTATTTTAACCCTTCGCCCTCCTGAGCATTCCCCCCCCCCTCGCACCCTCCTGAGCATCCCCCCTCCCCACACCCTCCTGAGCATTCCCCCCCTCGCCCTCCCGAGCATCCCCCGCCCCCAACAGCCTCCTGAGCATTCCCTTCCCTCACCCTCCTGAGTATCCCCCCCCCACACCCTCCTGAGCATTCCCCCCCCCCTCGCCCTCCTGAGCATCCCCGCCCCCCCACAGCCTCCTGAGCATTCCCTTCCCCCACCTCCTGAGTATCCCCCCCACACCCCTCCTGAGTATCCCCCCCCACCCAACCCTCTCCTGAGCATTCCCCCCCCCCCCTCTCGCCCCCCTGAGCCTCCCCCCCATTCCCCCCACCCTCCCCCCCCCCCCCCCGCCCCTCCTGAGCATTCGTCTCCTTCCCCCCTACGCCCTCTTTGAGCATTCTCCCCCCTCGCCCTCTCCTGAGCATTCCCCCCCCCATCGCCCCCTGAGCATTCCCCCCTCGCCCTTACTGAGCATTCTCCCCCTTGCCCTCCTGAGCATTCTCCCCCCCTCGCCCTCCCTTGAGCATTCCCCCCCCTCGCCCTCCTGAGACATTCTCCCCCCTCGCCCTCCCTGAGCATTCCCCCACTCACCCTCCTGAGCATCCCCCCCCCTCGCTCTCCTGAGCATTTCCCCCCCTTGCCCTCCTGAGCATTCCCCCCTCGCCCTACTGAGCATTCTTCCCCCCCCTCGCCCTCCTGAGCATCCCCCCCTCCCTCTCCTGAGCATCCCCCCTTGCCCTCCTGAGCATTCCCCCCCCCCCTTGCCCTCCTGAGTATACCCCCCCTCGTGTTCCTGAGCATTCCCCCCCTCACCCTCCTGAGCATTCTCCCCCCTCGCCCTCCTGAGCATTCCCCCACTTGCCCTCCTGAGCATTCGCCCTCCTGAGCACCCCCCCTCTCACCCTCCTGAGCATTCCCCCCCCCCCCCTTGCCCTCTGAGCATTTCCCCCCCTCGCCCTCCTGAGCATTCCCCCCCCTTGCCCTCCTGAGATTTCCCCCCCTCGCCCTCCTGAGCATTCGCCCTCCTGAACATTCCCCCCCCTTACCCTCCTGAGCATTCCCCCCGCCCCCCTTGCCCTCCTGAGCATTCCCCCTCCCCCCACCTCACCCTCCTGAGCATTCCCCCTTTCCTGGCCATACCATTTTTTGCGATATGGCGCTGCGTTACTTTAACTGACAATTGCGCGGTCATGCAACACCACACCCAGATGAAATTTACGTCCTTTTCCCCCCCCCACAAATTGAGCCTTCTTTCGGTGGTATTTGATCACCTCTGCGGGTTTTTTTTGCGCTATAGAAAAAAAAAGACCGACAATTTTGAGCAATTTTGTCCAGTAATAAAATTTTAAAAATCAAATTTTGTCATAAAATTAGGCCAAAATGTATTCTGTGACATGTCTAAAAAAATCCCAATACAGGTTGTACCTCAGTTTACGAATTAAATGCATTCTCCGGGACGGTTCGTATAGCGAAAAAATTGTAAACCGAAACGCGATTTCCCATAGGAACGCACTAAAAACCAATTAATCTGTTCCGGAGGTCAGAAAAAAGTAAAAAAAAAAACTTTATCTGTTCAAAACTCTTTATAAAGTGCACTTTAACCTCCCCAGCGGTCTGATTATGTCCATATTTCTGTGCTCAAAGCGGTACATTTTTTTGCATGGAAATATGTCGTTTTTTTATTGTAGGCTGTAATTTTTAGGAGTAACACTGAAATCTGTCCGAACAAGAGTCTAGTAAACATCCCGGGAGGATAAAATTTGAAACACGAAATCATAAGTTATAATATAATAAATAATCATAAAAAATAATAATATAATAATAATAAATTTAATTCAATAATATAATCAAATCAAAAACACTGAAATGTGAAATAGAGCGCCAAGTTCGCACCATCGCTGAGCTCAGTCGCAGAGAATCGTTTTCAGTGTCTGATGAGGAATTTCCCCCCACCAATCATTATCACTCAATTCTGCAAGTGGTTCTGATTTACTATCGCTGTTCTCTAGCCGGTCTAAAACCGCGTCTGACCTAAAGGGACGCTTTTTGGACGCCATGGACGTTTCTCAGTTTCCAGGCAGAAAGAACAGTAAAAATGCAGGCAGGGCGCCGGACAAAGCACTCGGGACACAATGTATGTGAAATGGTTTGATACAGGAATGTTATACGATGTGATTTTAGTGGATTTAGTGAATGTCACTTTTACAACTTTCAGATTTCCCGCCAGTTCTGTCCCCCGTACGTCCCGACGTCGCAGGGAATGGAACCCGGAAGACAGATGCGGCATCAGCCGGAGGACATTACAGGGGACACTGCAGGGGGGACATCGCGGGAGCGCAGGACAAGGTAAGTGCAGAAGAGATCCCGGAGCAACGCTGCAGTGTATTCCCGAGTGTAGCTGGGGGGGGGGGGGGGTTACCGCTGTTGGTGCTGAAACTTTACCCCGAGCTACACTCAGGAATACCGCCAGGGGGGGTTAAAGGCATAAATACTGTACAGGGACATGATTAATCAAGCAATAACTCAATGCAAAAACCGCTCCAACACCTCCGACACCTCCACACTCGACGCCACGTGCTACCCACAGACTCCAGCATGCACGGGGGCGGAGCTATAAGCCTCCCAGGCTCAATGCATCTTAGGGAAACTTGCTTCGTATTGCGAGAAAAATTTGTAACAAATTTGTAAACTGAGGCATTATTTTCAATGGATTTTCATTCATAAACCGAAAAATTAGGTTCGTAGACCGAGTTACGCCTCTACGTGTATATTAATTCGTTTACATGAAAGTTATAGCGTCTACAAATGGCGGTATAGATACTGGGATTTTTTTTTTTAATTTTTATTAGTAATGGCGGATATCAGAGACTTTTAGAGGGACTGCGGCGGGCATTCTGACACTGGGCAGGGGAACTGACTTGGTGTCACTCACATCCCCAGTGACACCAATACAGTGATCAGTGCTAAAAAAAAAATATGCACTGACGCTGTACTAATGGCAATGGGCAGGAAGAGGTTAGCATCAGCGGTGATCAAAGGGTTAACTGTGTGTAGGAAGTGTTTTACTAGGGGGCTCACGCGCTCTCCCTACCCGGAAATGCAAAAACAAAACCGTGCTGCCCTGTAGCTGTATTTGTACTATAGGGCAGTCGGGAAGGGGTTACAGAAGCTGACATACAAGCAGTGTGATTTGAGTTTTTGTTACATTAAAGATAAGAGATCTTACAGATACATGTTAACCAGTTCGGCTCCAGCGCAATTTTTTTTTTTTTTTGCATACACGTAAAAAAATCTACATTTTTGGCAATAAAATTACTGAAACCCCCAGAACCAGGGGCGGACTGACCATTTGGAAACTCGGGCACTGCCAGAGGGCCCGGGGTCAGTAGGGGGCCCTATGAGATGCCCCTGGGTACCTTTTTCATAGGCTTTTTTGAGTTTGGGCAAGGACACAGGGGCCCCATGATCCCCTATTGCCCGGGGCCCCATAAGTTGTCAGTCCGCCCCTGCCCAGAACATTATATAGTTTTTGGACGCGGAGGCCCTGTAGTATAGAACGGTGATAATGGCAAATTTTTATGTCACTTGATATTTGCGCAAATGTTTATTAAAAGCAAATTTTCCAGGAAAAAATATAATAAAGTGAATTTTAGCGCAAAAAACACAGAACAGAATACCCATTTTTGGTAAAGTATTAAAAAAAAGAAAAAAAAAATGCTGGATAAAAATTGTACGGCCAAACTAGCGGATTTTTTAGACACAGTGAGAGACCACACTATATGAGGTTGGCCTTATGAGGGATTGCCCAGGTCCTGTTATGAGGGAGGGATTGCCCAGGTCCTGTTATGAGGGGAGGGATTGCCCAGCCCGGTTATGAGGGAGGGAGGCCCGGTTATTGCCCAAGGTTATGAGGGAGGGATTGCCCAGGCCCGTTATGAGGGAGGGATTGCCCAGGTCCGGTTATGAGGGGAGGGATTGCCCCCGGTTATGGGGGAGGGATTTGCCCGTTATTGAGGGAGGGATTGCCAGGCCCGGTTAAGAGGGAGGGATTGCCCAGGCCCGGTTGATGAGGGGGAGGGATTGCCCAGGCCCGGTTAGAGGGAGGGATTGCCCAGGCCCGGTTTTATGATTTAGGAGGGATTGCCCAGGTCCTGTTATGAGGGGAGGGGATTGCCCAGGTTATGGGGGATGGCCCCAGGTTATGAGGGAGGGATTGCCCAGGCCCTGTTATGAGGAGGGAGGGATGCCCAGGTCCCAGTTATATGAGGGAGGGATTGCCCAGGCCCGGTTATGAGTTTATGAGGGAGGGATTGCCCAGGGGTCCTTTATGAGGGGAGGGATTGCCCAGGCCCGGTTATGAGGGGAGGGATTGCCCAGGTCCCGGTTATGAGGGAGGATTGCCCAGGGATTGGGGAGGGATTGCCCAGGCCCGTTATGGGGGAGGGATTGCCCAGGTCCTGTTATGAGGGGAGGGATTGCCCAGGCCCGTTATGGGGAGGGATTGCCCAGGTCCTGTTATGAGGGAGGGATTGCCCAGGCCCGGTTATGAGGGGGAGGGATTGCCCCCCGTTAGGGATTGCCCAGGTCCTGTTTATGAGGGGAGGGATTGCCCAGGCCCTGTTATGAGGGGAGGGATTGCCCAGGCCCCGGTTATGAGGGAGGGATTGCCCAGGCCCAGGGTTATGAGGGAGGGATTGCCCAGGTCCTGTTATGAGGGGAGGGCCCAGGTCCGGTAGGGGGATTGCCCAGGCCCGGTTATGAGGGGAGGGATTGCCCAGGTCCTGTTATAAGGGGAGGGATTGCCCAGGCCCCTGTTTGAGGGAGGGATTGCCCAGGGTGTTATGAGGGAGGGATTGCCCAGGCCCGGTTATGAGGGAGGGATTGCCCAGGTCCTGTTATGAGGGAGGGATTGCCCAGGTCCTGTTATGAGGGGGGGATTGCCCAGGCCCGGTTTTATGAGGGAGGGATTGCCCAGATCCTGTTATAAGGGGAGGGATTGCCCAGGCCCGGTTATGAGGGATTTACCCAGGTCCTGTTATGAGGGGAGGGATTGCCCAGGTCCTGTTATGAGGGGAGGGATTGCCCAGGCCCGGTTATGAGGGAGGGATTGCCCAGGCCCGTTATGAGGGAGGGATTGCCTAGGTCCTGTTATGAGGGAGGGATTGCCCAGGTCCTGTTATGAGGGGAGGGATTGCCCAGGCCCGATTATGAGGGAGGGATTGCCCAGGCCCGGTTATGAGGGAGGGATTGCCCAGGCCCGGTTATGAGGGGAGGGATTGCCCAGGCCCAGTTATGAGGGAGGGATTGCCCGGTTATGAGGGAGGAATGGCCCAGGCCTGGTTATGAGGGAGGGATTGCCCAGGTCCTGTTATGAGGGGAGGGATTGCCCAGGCCCGGTTATGAGGGAGGGATTGCCCAGGTCCTGTTATAAGGGGAGGGATTGCCCAGGTCCTGTTATGAGGGAGGGATTGCCCAGATCCTGTTATGAGGGGAGGGATTGCCCAGGCCCGGTTATGAGGGAGGGATTGCCCAGGTCCTGTTATGAGGGAGGGATTGCCCAGGTCCTGTTATGAGGGAGGGATTGCCCAGGCCCGGTTATGATGAGGGAGGGATTGCCCAGGCCCGGTTATGAGGGAGGGATTGCCCAGGCCCGTTTATGATGAGGGGAGGGGAGGGATTGCCCAGGTCCTGTTATGAGGGGAGGGATTGCCCAGGTCCTGTTATGGGGGAGGGATTGCCCAGGCCCGGTTATGGGGGAGGGATTGCCCAGGGCCGGTTATGGGGGAGGGATTGCCCAGGCCGGTTATGGGGAGGGATTGCCCAGGCCCGGTTATGAGGGAGGGATTGCCCAGGCCCGGTTATGAGGGGAGGGATTGCCCAGGCCCAGTTATGAGGGAGGGATTGCCCGGTTATGAGGGAGGGATTGCCCAGGCCTGGTTATGAGGGAGGGATTGCCCAGGCCCGGTTATGAGGGAGGGTCTGCGTTTGATGAATCTGGAGAGAATCCCTCAAAAGTTTCGGGATTTGGCCTGGCTCTCTTTCCATGGCAGACTCTATGTGAAGGGCAACCTGATGCATCGCTCTGCGGAGAACCGTGGTTGTCCAAGAGTGGAGTGCGGTGGGGTGGAGGAGACGATGGACCATTTCTTGCTTCAGTGCCCCTTCAATATAGATGTCTACGAGCGGGTGGGTGGGGCTCTGGGGATCCCTCTCCTTTCCCGCTTGAGTTAGGGTCTTACGGAGCCTTTCAGACTCTCCGGGACTTTGATTTTGAGACACTTTTTCTAGTTAGCTTAGTAGTCCTTTACTACACGTGGAATGCACGGTGTCAGGTTTCCATTCGCAAAAAATTCCTTCCTGTTGTAGTGGTGGTGCCCAACATTCTGGGTGAGGTTGGGAAGATTCGGGGTCTTGAGAAGAACAGGTGGCGGCCGGCAGCCTGGACAAAGGCGTGGAGGAATGTCAGGTCCCCGTAGCTGCTGTCTGTCAGTCTCTGGGGGCGTGGCTTCTCCTTCTGTCCTCTCACGTCCCCTAGATTTTTGTAACATCAGATTTTTGAAGAAAGGCAGCATGCATGGGATCAATGTTTCATCGTTTCTTAGCCTGAGGGGGTGTTTAGGTGACGGTCAGGATTTGTTAGTACTTTGCTGAAGTAAACTGGTTTTGTTTAAATATATATAATTTATTCTGTATATATGTAAATATGATTTTTATGATGTTTGTTTGTTTTGTTTGTTTGCAAGATTTTAATAAACAAAAATTCACACTATCATGTAAAACATTACAATTTATTGAACATAAAATAATCCCAACCACGGCACCACCTGCCTGGAGTTTGCATGTTCTCCCTGTGCCTGCGTGGGTTTCCTTCGGGTACTCAGGTTTCCTCCCACACTCCAAAGATATGCTGAGAGGTGAATTGGCTCCTGTCTAAATTGTCCCTAGTATGTGTATGTATGAATGTGAGTTAGGGACCTTAGATTGTACGCCCCTCGGGGGCGGGGACTGATGTGAATGCACAATATATATGTAAAATGCTGCGTAAATTGACGACGCTTATAAAGTACCTGAAATAAATAATAAATAAATATTAATCACAAACAAAATAAAACAAAACATGTAAAACCCCATAAAAAGAAAGGGGAAAATAGTATCTGAAAACTAATGCTGCCCATCACCCTGAACACACCATCCCCACTGTGAAACATGGTGGTGGCAGCATCATGTGGTGGGGATGCTTTTCTTCAGCAGGGACAGGGAAGCTGGTCAGAGTTGATGGGAAGATGGATGGAGCCAAATACAGGGCAATCTTAGAAGAAAACCTGTTAGAGTCTGCAGAAGACTTGAGACCGCGGCGGAGGTTCCCTTTCCAGCAGGACAACAACCCAAAAAAACAAAAAAAAAAAGCCAGAGCTACAATGGAATGGTTCAGATCAAAGAATCTTCATGTGTTAGAATGGCCCAGTCACAGTCCAGACCC